CAATTTATTATAAGCGTCGACTTTGTTTAAGAATTAGTGATCTATCCAACCCCCCTTCTAGATCATTGTCTTCGTTTAACATATTTCACATAGCCCTTACATCTGTTTGTGTCTTAAGCTCAAATTTGTTGAACTCAATCTTCTCTCCGTCATCAATCGACGGTGAACGGCGCTCGAGCTTCACAATCTTTCGATTGTCTCCGTAAGGTATGAGACTGTGTATTTCGTCTTTGATATCTTCAAGGGATGTGAAATCGATGAGCTTAAACGTTCGCTCAGGTGTAGAGCTGGAGAAGGAGACATTTGCGCATATCAATAGATGTTTATTTGTGACATTTGAGACATTTTTAGTTTGTGCAAAATATAACATAATAGCACCTAAATTTATAGAAGACATAGATCAATTTGGATTGCTCTTTACCTGCCATATTGATTTCGGAGATATATCTTCGAAAACGCATCCTATTATCTTGTTTCGGAGATGCATCTCCGGAACTTCTCTTGAACCAGATTCATAATAGAACCCTATAACAGAACATATTTTTTCTTTTTCTAAAACACTAGTATTGTTGTGGGGAAGATCAATAATGCATTAATGTAAAATATGAACAAATGGTGAATATATAACACTTCATTTATATTGAGACACAGTTACATACACTTATTTGTCCGATTAAATAACAAATTAAAACGAATCGAAATATATGTCGCAAGCTAAATCTATTGATGGTATTCACTTGAACTTTTATGCATTTGATTCTTTTCCAATGTTGTTCAATTTCTCAAATTATTGCATCCTTTCCATAAAATGATTCGGCCAAGTCTCGGTTTTTAGTGAGGTACCGAATATTATAAACTTGCTTGATATTATATATATTTTTAAGTCGCTTTCGTTTCAATGTTGCAAGTTTTTTTTTCAGCTGAACAAGATTCAAGGTCATGTCAGCAACACATTTCTTCTCTTCCAGCTTGAGCCGACAGACACTAGAACGACCAGCTAATTTTAAACACAAATTATGGTTATGCAAACCACATATCACATTAAATCTTCAGTTTTTGTTTTCCAACATATAACCACGAACCTTAAACGAACAATCACATTTTCTTGTACCAGTGTCGTCTCTTTTAAAATTCTAGAGAGGGGCTCTATATTTTCTTCTTCTTTCGCACGAAACGTCATTGTCACAAAAGCGCATCTTCTATCCGAATCATTGTCGGACATTCCGATAACCACACCAAATCCAAATTTAGAGACCTCCATATGAATTCATTGAAACATTTGATCACGAGATTCAAACTCTTGTTTGTTTCTAAATTGGTTGCCAACATATACCGTCTTCACAATAACACCTTGGACATTCAGAGAAACAAAAACACCTTGGACATTCGAATAAACAATTTCTTTTGAGAAAACATCAGGGTGCACCATATCTAATGAAAACAATTAAAACCATAACAATACATAAGTGCTACTGCTAAAGCATACTTGAAAATTAAACACAAACAGTTTTCATAAATGCATCTCCAAAAAAGTTCATACACGTACGGAGATACATTTTTGGACACAACGCAATTTTTTTCAGAAAAAGAATGATTAATGTGAACAATACAGAGAAAATAAAAAATCTTTACCTGAAATTCTATCTATTTTTGTTCCTTATAATGTGATGAACCAAAAAAATAAAAATTTAGAATGAAAAAAATGTATTGAGAATGAAGGATTTTTTTGGTGAAGGGTCTGGTTGAAAACCAACTATAGCAATAATAGTTGTGTGATCATGCAGCTGCTTCTTTTATCATATATCTGACATGCAATAATAATAGAAAATTTCAACATACCGCTCATAATTTCAGAGATATAACTTCGAAATTTCTACTAAACTTATAAATAATTAAGGTATTTATTTCCGGAATAAAAATTACCAAATTATATGGCACCTCTTTTAATAGTCTTATTTAAGTATGAAATAGATGCGTATGGAAATTCATCTCCAAAAAGAAGAAAAAGAAGAAACATTTATTCACGTGGTGCAGAAGAAATATCTAAAATACGGAAGTTTTACCTCATAACCCTACACTTGTACCTATACCCCTACATTAAAAAATTTTGGACCAAAATATCCTCGTATAAAAATTTATTATTTTCTAATTTTTTTATATTTTTTTATTTGTTTACCGAAAGACTTTTTGGAAGTCTTCCGGTTCACATTTTTTTTAGTACGTTTACCGAAAGACTTTTTGGAAGTCTTCCGGTTCATATTTTTTCGTTTGTTTACCTGAAGACTTTTTGGAAGTCTTCCGGTTCATTTTTTTTTTAATTTGTAATTAATATTTAAGATTTATTAACTTTATATAAAGACCAATTTAGTGAATTTTTGAATATTATACTTAAAATATAAAAATTCTATAAATAGAGAATTATTTTCAGAATATTTTCTATTTGCTATAATTATTAGAATACAATGAGATTAAAATCATTTATTTTAAATGATCATAATAGTAGAATTTTCTCAAATATCTTATTAATCTTAAACATTAATAAATAAAATAAATTTAAATATAGGATATAAGTTTACATTATTCAATATATTTAATTAAATGAAAACATATGTGATAAATAAATAATGTATTTTAATTTAAAATGATCACAATAAGTTAACTTGCAAAATAATATAAGTAATAAATTAATAATATATTTTATTTAAAATAATCACAATAATAAAATACGCAAATAATGTGTTTTATTTATAGGACTGATATAGTTTTATTGATTATTTAATTTTAAATACTACTATGAATATAGTATTTAATCTATACTTTAGAACTCACATAATTATAAATATAAAAAATATTGTTTTATTACCCATATTTTTATTTAATTAAAAAAAATAAGAATATAAATTTATTATTTGTTTTTCATTTTCGTTTGATCTTTTTTTTATTTATAAATTTTTTTGCATATTCTATACTGTGCTTACTTTAAATAAAATATATTATTTATTTTATTAAAAATATTAAATAAAGTGAAATAATTAAAAAGATCAAACAAAAATGAAAAACAAATAATAAATTTATATTCTTATTTTTTTTAATTAAATAAAAATATGGATAATAAAACAATATTTTTTATATTTATAATTATGTGAGTTCTAAAGTATAGATTAAATACTATATTCATAGTAGTATTTAAAATTAAATAATCAATAAAACTATATGAGTCCTATAAATAAAACACATTATTTGCGTATTCTATTATTGTGATTATTTTAAATAAAATACATTATTAATTTATTACTTATATTATTTTGCAAGTTAACTTATTGTGATCATTTTAAGTTAAAATACATTATTTATTTATCACATATGTTTTCATTTGATTAAATATATTGAATAATGTAAACTTATATCTTATATTTAAATTTATTTTATTTATTAATGTTTAAGATTAATAAGATATTTGAGAAAATTCTACTATTATGATCATTTAAAATAAATGATTTTAATCTTAGTATTCTAATAATTATAGTAAATAGAAAATATTCTGAAAATGATTCTCTATTTATAGAATTTTTATATTTTAAGTATAATATTAAAAAATTTACTAAATTGGTCTTTATATAAAATTAATAAATCTTAAAAAGTCTTCCGATAAACAAACGAAAAAATATGTACCGGAAGACTTCCAAAAAGTCTTCCGGTAAACATACTAAAAAAAATGTGAACCGGAAGACTTCCAAAAAGTCTTCCGGTAAACAAATAAAAAATATTTAAAAAATTAAAAAATAATAAATTTTTATACGAGGATATTTTAGTCCAAAATTTTTTAATGTAGGGGTATAGGTATAAGTGTAGGGGTATGGGGTAAACTTCCCTAAAATACATTAAGAAATTCTCTAAACATTTTGCAGGATCCATTACCTGAAATATCTAAAATACATTAAGAAATTCTCTAAACATTTTGCAGGATCCATTACCTTCTTAACGTTAACTTCTAACATATATTATAAAAAATGATCCAGAATATGACTACAAGAATAATATGACTTTGTTAAACCTTCTTGGTGCTACTTTTCACATCATATATTTAAATTCTAGAAGTTAACTACTAAAAGACATTAACAGTTCCGAAATTAAGTTCTACAATACAAATACGTGCAGTTTCTTAAAACATGTTCACTACTCTTCCGAGAATATATAAATATATATGGACATATGGTCGAATCTTCTTTATTCTTGTATTTGAAAATTAACTTTAAAAATATATATATATATATATATATATATATATATATATATATATATATATATATATATATATATATATATATATATATATATATATATATATATATATATATATATATATATATATATATATATATATATATATATATATATATATATATATATATATATATATATATATATATATATATGCCGACTCGGAAAAACCCTTCACTGAATGTGATTTGGTTTCCACAACTCTGCTTTGTTCCTAGCTTCATGCATTCTTCTCTACACAGCTCTATGCGCATTCAACTCAAAGATGGCTATGTTACTGCCAGAGGAGGAAGAGGAAAGGGAAAAAGAATAAAGAGATATTTCAGAAGTTTACTTTCCAAAAGGATGACGAGAGACCGTTGAAGTTAAACTTCGTTAAGAGTATTATGGGCAAAAAGGGAATGCAAATGGCAACTCCCATAACTTATTAAACACTAATAATACAGTGGAAACATCCTAGGAGCCAACTGTGTTTCTAGGTACTCCAGTGTTCAAACATTCCATTAATATACAACAAATATCTAGATACTGTGAAGTTTCCCAATGCAAGTTATACCCTAAACTAAATCAAGGACGAGAAATAGATACTTTTAAACCAAATCACTGATCAAGTAAGTCATGGTCAAAAGCAAAAAGGAAATTCCAGTATGTTATGTTATCTGTAGAAGCAGAAACACTAGGCACCATCACAAGGTTGAAATTTATTCTTTTTTACTCAACTAATCGGTCCTCACTCGTTTTGTGGGTGGTGCGGATACCTGGTCAAGTTCACCGGTAACTTTAGCATCATCTCCCTTTTGCTTTGCGCTTGTGTCTGGAGTGCTACAGTTGATTCCAGTCTTCCCATGATCCTCATTTAAGCTTTCTAAATTTTCAACTGGAGAAGGTAGTGCGGCGCTAGATGACGGAGCAGAAGGCTCGCCCGACTTGATTTGTTGCTCAAACATCATCTGTAGATGCTTCCCTTGGTTCTCAATTTGAATCTGTAATTTCCTTTGAATCTGCATAGTAACGATACATGTGATCATCTTCCTTACAAAAAATTGGGATCCAAAGACTACACGACAATGAACTTTAGCAACTAAAATATACCTCAAGTTGTTCATGAAGCCGCTTCTGGAGTTCCATCTGTAACCTCAATGCTTCGGTAATGCCCTTAGGCCTGCAAAACAACAGCCCAAAGTATGTTTGTAAACATTAATACTTCATCTCAATGAAATTTAAGTGATAGGAATAGCTTCACATATTGGAAATGAGAAGGACAGTTATCATACCATAGCACACACTAGATCTTTATGAATCAGTTTAGATCATATCTTTGTCATAGTTTATATATTAAAGTCAAATATATGATACTCGCTCCAACCACAATATATATAATTCTAGCCAACACAAATTATCTTACTTTATATGCCCTTTTACAATAAATATCAATGAAGTATTAGTGTAGTTTTTTCTATTATACTCTTCACTATTACTCTTCCCGTTTCAAACTCTTGTAATTGCTCTTTCTCATACAATAAAAAAAAAAAGAGGATAATTTTATAAAGTAAGTCGTGACTCCTTTTTCTCATGCAAAATTACTTATGTTTCTTATTCATATTTCAATTGCTTAAGTGACACGTATTTTAGGATGAAGCCTATAAATGACAAAAGTTATACCGAGTCAGAATTACACATTTACACTCTGCTCTATGAATACAATTTAGGGATGTCAATGTCACCAAAAAAAAAGATCAATCAATACAAAACAAATAATTTCTAGATAAGTTGGGAAGGGAACTCACGTTTTTAAGTCTATAGGCGGCATTTCTTCAATTGAAGTCAACTTCTCTGGAATTTCTGTATGTAGTAAAGAAAATGTCATTCATACGTAACCTCAGATTTATCCAAAAAAGTTGGTGCAAATCCATGTGATTATTAAGTGTATTTAAACCCTAAAGAGAACAAGCAACAATACAGAACAGCTGGTTTGACTATCCTGGTGTTACAGGAATTAAGGGATCAATGTTCAAACCCCAGGTGAAAAAACTTAGGAAGCCCTAAAACATAGATATAAATAAATAGCCATCTGGTTATCTGAACATTAAATTTCCATATAGACTTGTACATACCTTCTGATGCTTCCGGTTTGTATCTGGCAGTTCTATATTTCTGAAATTAAAAGAATAATAATTCATTAAAAACCTTTGACTAAAACACACACATATAAAGGAGCTCCTAAGTAAAGAAGAAAAATATAAAATGTACCTGGAGGTGGCTTTTCACATGATAGATTGTAAGGCCCTCAACTTTCATCAGGTTCAAGACACCCTTTGGTGTGGCCTCTGCATACGAACACCGTGAGATAACAAGGAAAATCTGTAATGAGACGGACAAGAAGCCCAAAATTAAGAAGTGAACATACTCTCACTACCACCAAGCTGATTGACGGCTTCCACAAAGGCCTCGTGAAGTTCGGGAGTCCAACGCATTCTAGGCTTAGATTGTGATGTATTCGATCCAGACGAGTTATGAAAAACATTAACTTCATTAGATGGTACATACTGCTGCAGTGAAACGTGAGTCTCCTACATCAAGAGAAAATGGTACATTTGTACATTTAGCCATCTTAGGGATTAAAACAAGGAATTAAAAATAGAATTTATGAACTAGAAGAATTAGGAAGAACATTAACTTCATTAGATGGAACATACTGCTGCAGTGAAACTTGAGTCTCCTGCAGTGAAACTTGAGTCTCCTGCAACAAGAGAAAAGGGTGCATTTAAACATTTAGCCATCTTAGGGGTTAAAACAAGGAATTAAAAATAGAATTTATGAACTAGAAGAATTAGGAAGAACATTAACTTCATTAGATGGAACATACTGCTGCAGTGAAACTTGAGTCTCCTGCAGTGAAACTTGAGTCTCCTGCAGTGAAACTTGAGTCTTCTGCAACAAGAGAAAATGGTACATTTGTACATTTAGCAATCTTAGGGATTAAAACAAGGAATTAACAATAGAATTTATGGACTAGAAGAATTGGGAAGAACATTAACTTCATTAGATGGAACATACTGCTGCAGTGAAACTTGAGTCTCCTGCAGTGAAACTTGAGTCTCCTGCAACAAGAGAAAGTGGTACATTTGTTCATTTAGCCATCTTAGGGATTAAAACAGAGAATTTAAAATAGAAGTTATCGACCAAGAATTAAGTGAAAATAAACAGTAGATTTTAAACAATAAAAAAACACATATAGGGTGAAAGGAAATAGGGAATGAACTAGATACGCATTATATGCATATGGTGATGATAGATGAATCAATTTCTTTTAAAGAAAATAAACCTAAATGCACCAAAGCAAATCATACGTGTGTTTATGTTATATTGGCCTCAACTGGATAGTTACAGACTACACACATACCACTTGACCTGATTTTCATGTGAATCAGAAACTAGTTCATTCATAATAATAACCATGATCCTTAACCATATAGCAGCAGGAGATGCCACCCACATATTCTAGAAGACTTAACAGATAGGAGCAAGCACTTTGAAACCTTGTAGTACAAATTAAAATCAACTTAAAAATACAAACCTTTGCTGTTGGTTCTGCCATATTATTATCACCGAGAAGTTCATTCCAATCTGGATGAAGAGAATCATCATCAACTGACATTAACTGATCAACCCACTCCTTGAACTCTGTTTGTTTGGCATTTCCACCCAAGACATTAGAACCACTGTATTCCACATGATCATTTTGGATGGGAACATTATCAGGAAACGGAAGCATATTGTCAAACATATCTGTTCCCCAGGAAATAGCATCACTTTCTTGAGGGAATGGCATAGAATGCATATCTGAAGCAGGTGAAAAAGGGATGTTATCAAGGAGCTCAGCAGGGTTTGAAAACATGTGTCCAGCACTTCTGTTGTTGGAATTAATTGATGTAGCCCGCATTGAAGACGAGGGATAAGATGAAGACATAGCTTCCACGAAAGGCTTCCAAGTGAATCAATCAACTTCGCATGACCTGATTTCAATATGAAAAGTAAGCTATATAGTGTATCAACTAACTCACCAGCTTAATTAAACACTAATAGCATAAACACTTCCATATAAATGCTTTTGTATAAACTATTTCTATAACAAAAGGTAAAATAAATCCAAATTGTTCTCATATAAATTCATAAGCTATTTTCATAACCAATCCCGGAGAGTTTATCGAAATGTCATAAGTTGCTTACATAAGTTCCTCCTACTTATGCCATTAGACAAGCTCAAATAAGTCAATCTAAACAAACTCGGTCACTAATGAGAAAATCATATACATGTGAACACCTATCATATAATTTAACAAAATATAATCCCTAAATTCCTGCAAAGCACACACCAGAGACACTGACACACACCAACACACGGCAATAATTTGAAAAAGAAATAAATCAACATAAACACAAAATCACAGGTGTCAGTGTCAGTTTCGGAGATAGTAACATAGACACGGATTTTTTCAGAGGCGTCGGTGCTACATAGCTTAATCCATAGGTCACGTGATCATATGTCACACACTAATCAAGACTATATGAATACAGTGCATCTGAAAATAATTAAACAGTTGAAATTACAAAAGCAGTACAGAAAAACAAATAGAAGTAAATTAATGCTTGCTTTGCAAGTGGAATATATTCTTAAGAATTGTGGAAACAGGCAAAAAATGCACAATCATGACACAGTTGATTTTCGAACAGTTCGCATAAGCAAAATCAATGCAAAATTGAAATTCACAATTTAGTTCAAATCAGGAATCAGCGTTCACTGCACAATCAGCGTCGAAAACCTAATAAAGTGGAGTGTGATCATGTATGATATATCTAAAAAAATAAGAAAGACAAAAGAATTGAAGCTGAATTGAGAGAAAATGAAAGAAAGAGTGAACGAACCTTGACATGGAAGAATGAAGAAGAAAAAGAAGAGAAGGTGCGGCAGAAGGTTCAGTGAATTGATTAATAATATATAAAAAATACAAATTGGGGATTGTGGTTTTGGCTTATAAGAGGAACGAGAGGACGTAGGTATAGGAAAAAGGAGGTTAACCCCACTTTTCTGTTTATTTTGATTTTCATCCTTTCGATCATTCTCTTTTATGGAGAATTTATGTTTTTTTCGCCTCCGCCGTCTGATTCAGATGTATATCTTGAATTCTTTTCATAAATTGTTGACTCTACTTTTTTATTTTGAAATGATAGTGTAAGCGAAAAATAATAAATATGTTGGTTTAAAATATAAATAAATTTGAACTAGTTTTTTTATTATATACATATACTATAATTTTTAAGATATTATTAATGGTCGGATGTGTTTTGAGTAAACAAATGCTTGGTGGTTGGATAGCATAAGAAAAATGAAATAATAATTATGTTATTGGAGTATTATATTTCAATTCAGTGTTTGGTCAAAATTTAATTTGAAATTAGAATATTTAAAAACAAAATTATCATAAATATTATAAAATTTAATATATTAACTTAATCTTACTAATAAATTAACTATAATTATAATGCAAGGATAATATATCATTTTATATAATTTATTAGTCAAAAAGTACTAATGTGTGTTCCTTCTACAAAGGCAGGGAGACTCAAAGGTTTTTGTAGGTATATTACGATATAATGGTTAGGATTTGTCAGTGACGGCGAGAAGTCATGTACTGTGGTATTTTATGGTAGTTTTAGGAGTCTTACTCGTGTGAGTTGAGAGGCTATGTAGGTGTACGGTGTGATTAGGTATAAGCGTATGTGGAGTATGATTAATATGAGTTATGATTTGTCTTTCCTCCTAAAAGGAATGTGTATTTATAGAGACCTCTAGGACCTAGAATTCTATTGGGAAAGGTCATCGTCTACTCAGTCAATGGTGGACAGTTGAATCCCTATTTAGAAGGAGAATGTCAATCAGTTAGTAACTCTGACTTCTCAATGTCCTAGAAATATTTTTTGTTGTGTTTCCTGTGATTGGACGATAGGAAGACCTTGGGGGCAAAGTAATACCTTCCTTTGGGCGACATGTTATCGATGTCTCTCCTTGGGCGTCCTATAATCATATCTCTAGTAGAGTCCTTTTACAAATATAACACTACCTAGTCTCTAAAGTACGATACATGTTGATAGATGACAAAGTATTTTTAGATCGCGACTCAAGGGAGTATCCTGAGGACCTAGGCTTCTTAAGGACTCACATCGAGCCTTTAGGAAAAGTGTATAACCTCTCGGGAGAGACTCCTATCAAGCCATCGGGCAAGACTTGTTATCAAGTCTCCTAGGTTGGATATCAATCGCTTCTCTTATGCATAATTCTTGAGTCTAATCTCGCCTGAGGAAACGCTGAGTCCCTTAGGCAAGAATTTAGTTAGCTTAGGGAGTCTAAGTCCTTCAAGCAAGATTATATGTAACCTGGCTCATGAGACTATAAATCCCTCAGGCGAAGCGTTTGACCTCTCGGGCGGGACTTTCATCCAGCCCTTAAAAAAGACTTGTGATCAAGTCTCTTAGGTTGGATATCGGTCGCGCCTATTTGGCGTGATTCACGAGTCTGATCCTGCCCGTGTAAACACTAAGTCCCTTCGGCAATAGATTTGTTAGCCTAAGGAGTATAAGTCCCTCAAGCAAAACTATATGTAGATGTTATCCTACAATTTTCGACACTGCACTAAGTCTAGTTTGGAAGAGTCTCAATAACAGATTTATAAGATTAGGATCACTTTTTCTTTAAAACATGTCCAGAATCTCGAAAGTTTTTGCATAAATCAGTACTTCGACGTGGAAATGTGGTATAAAAGGGTTGAGTTTGATGCGTCCATTAGATTTATGGACTTTATGTGTTTTTCCAAAGGTCACATAAACTAAGGATGCTTTGATAACACTATGGGAGTCGATTGGAGATTCTCGACAAAGGAAGCTGAGAGATTTAAAAGAAGTTATCAGCGTAAGTGATAGTTTGCAGTAGTTCAAAGGTGAAGGCATGTGGAAATCATGCAGAGGCCAGTAACTCACGTACTTATGAACATGATGAGTGTTGAGAAAGTAATTGTTGTCGACAATTATTTTTTACTTGTATATAAGTTGAATTTTTGCATTGTAAATAGGGTCACAAATTTCATTAAGTTCTCTGTAGAGTCCAATATCCATGTCACAGTGATTCAGAGATTTAGTGAGAAATGTATGATTATGCCCACCATTTTATGTTGATGCAAACACCTTACTTCCAGCCTACTTCATTATCTTATATGCTTTAATTGCACTCTTATTGCCTCTCACTTTAACTCTTCATACTTTTCTGCACATTTCCATTTTCTTCACGTTGTTCTTGAGTTTTCACAAACTCGGACAAAACCAACCTTTTTAAACACATAAACTATTCTCAAAACACTCGTGCACAAATATGTCCTCGATATTTTTCAAGTTTAATCTCTTAAGTAAATCAAACTCATAATTGTTTACTAAAAATATTAGTAAATAAATTGGCACATCCGGTGGAATACTTTTGTGCATTTTAATTCAATGTTTTTTTCAAGAAAACTATGTATTTTTATTTATTTGTTTTGTTCTTCATATAAATGATTGAGTGTGTATGCATTTGAGAAATGGTAAAGTTAAAAGGAAAATGACAGCAAAAAAGTCAAAGAATGCTTCCCTTCCACAAAATGACACCCTAAATATGGAAAAACAACCAATTTAAACGACGACTGATAGTGTGGGAACTTCAACATCTGTTGAGGTAACCGCTCCTGTTATAAGCCAAATGACAGTTTTGACAATATTGCTTTAAGTGGTGGTTTCCCCACCATAAGAAACGAGTATCCCAACTACTCCCAGGGCCACACAACCAATCTTAGGAGATCCTAGTTTTTCTTTTCTACCAAGTTTCAAACTACCCTTTGGCGGTAAGGGATATCTATATGGCATGCCAACTACAATGATGGCAGGCCTACAAACCAATGCATCTACATATGAAAATAATGAAATACATGTTGCATCCCCATTCAATCCATACTTAGCATCGGGATCTGATATAAGTGATCCTAGTCGAATGGCACAACCACAATGAGGGTTAGGATATATCCATCAAGTTATGTCATCCTTAACCACTAGTTCCCTCTAATTTGTGAGGCAACAAATTGATGAGAGTAATCATGATATGGTGAATATGCTTACACATCAAATTGGTATTGTGTTTAATCCTTTGACCTAAAACACTAACCATAGTTACCATTAATTGACGCACCAAATGGGCCGAATTGCTTATTCCTTTGGTGTTTCTCAAGCGTTCATCCAACCAGTACCTAATAACCAAATGCCATAGTCGGTTATACCTGTGAAACAATATGTGCCCATGGTAGTTAAAGGCAACGCAGGCTAAAATGGCTTTGAGGTAATGTTGTTGAATAGAAACTAGGATGCATACTAAGAGGTTAAGAATGTCTAACAAAATAATTTTTGGGGGGAAAAATAATATAGCCAACATGGTCGGACAAATTTTATCCCAAAATGGCCTTAATTTTGGCTTGCATAGGCCGAAATTTATCTCTTCTTTGTCTAAATATGTGTTGCATACTAAACTTCCAAGGATTCACTAAGTTTGCAGAGGAGACTAATGAATCCACTGTTGAACACGTTGCTAGATATCAGTATGAGGCAAGAGACTTGGCTAATAATGAAGACTTAAAAATGGAGTATTTAATAATTTCTTTAACTAAGAATGGTTTTACATGGTTTACTACCCTTCCTCCAAATTCCATATGCAATTGTAATTAGCTAGGAAGAGTATTCCATGAGCAATTTTACATGGGTCAGTCGAAGATTAGCATAAATGAGTTGGCTAATGTAAAGATCAAGTTATTTGATTCAATAGATGACTACCTTGATAGGTTTAGGCTATTAAAACCAAGATGCATTACCCAAGATCCTGAACATGAGTTAGTCAAAATA